CTGTGCAGAAGCTTTTTGATTTAATTAAGTTCCATTTATTTATATTTGTTGTTGCTATATTTGCCTTTGAGGTCTTAGTCCAAAATTCTATGCCTTGGCTAATGTCTGGAAGAGGTTTTCCTATTTTTTCTTCTAGAATTTTATGATTTCATGCCTTACATTTAAGTCTTTTATCCATCTTGAATTATTTTTTGTAGATCGTGAGAGATAGGAGTCCTATTTCACTCTTCTGCATGTGGATATCCAGTTTTCCCAGCATCATTTACTGAACAGGGCTTACTTTCCCCAGTGTAGGTTGTTGTCTGCGTTGTCAAAGAGCAGTTGGTTGTATTTCTGTGTTCCCTATTCTGTTCCATTGGTCTATGTCTCTACTTTTATACTAGTACCATGCTGCTTTGGTTACTATAGCCTTGTATGGTTTTAAGATAGCTTTTCTTTAATATTTGGTGTTATTTACTGATTCCCCCTCCAAAAGGGCTTAAGCTTGACAAAACTGTTACAGTTATCAGAAACCAGCTCCAGAGCTCATCTCACTTTAACTCATGTCTGCATAACTACAGTGAGTTATACTGGATGGAAGGAAGCCCAGAGCTGCCTGTGCAGTTTGGCTTGTGACAATGGCAATGGATACTTCATTAAAATGGCCATTATGTGGGAGGGAAGACAAATTTGGACACAGACACAGGAGATTGCCTGTGAGGCCATGAGCTCAGGACTGGCATAAGAGAGACTAGCCAGCCTTGGGCAGCCACATCCATTGGAAACTTTACAATTCAGCACATGCCTTGGCTGGAGGCACCATGCCCTGGACATAGCTGTGAACTACACTGGGGATGGCCTGTCCAGAGACAGAACTTTGGGCTCTGGGCTCCTGGTGCTTGGTGAGAGGGCCAAGCCTGGGAAGGACTATGCACGGACAGACACCATTTGTTCCAGCCAAGACAGACCTGACTGCTGCTGCTCTGCCAGCTACACAGGCTCCTGGGGCCTGAACTGTAAGAGCCATGTCTGCTGTGTGTGACACTGGCTTTCCCCCAGGCATCCTCCCTCTTATCTGCCTTTGACACACAGGTGAGGAGGAGGGAACTGTCTCTCTGTGTCTTGTCACATCGGTGTTTGCCACTCCTTGAGTGTGACCATTAAATTAGGCTCATAGGTCACACTCAGCCTTGTGTTATGAAATAGAATAAAATAGAAAACATTAAGATGTATAACATGTAAGAAGGAAAGTATTCTCTCATAAAACCTTTTAGGTATATGTGTGTGTGTGAACCAGATCAGACTGAAAAACATATCTCTGTGGGTTCACTGTCAAGAAAACACTAGGCCAGCCATGGTGTCCAGGCTATTTCCTCAGTTTCTCCAACAATAAATGACTTTTATTCCTTACAGAAGCAAGCATCACAGGCTTACTACACATTCTGTGGCATTTCTCAGTGACCTAGAGAGATTTTTAAACCTCCTAAAACTTGGGGAAGCAGGCAAGTACCTCAGGAATGCCCTGTCAATGTCTTATCAAACTGAGTTTGAATGACATGTCCAGGTTTCAACTCATAAGTAAAGGAGGCCTTGATCCTAATGCCACCCTGGAACATATACCAAGAGGAAGCAGTGGGTGCATTTTCAGGGGTAGGTGAGTATCTCCAGGCCCAGTCCTTGAATGCACATGCCTGTCAGGAGACCTTCCCAGGAGGCTCAAGGAGCAGCACACGGTAGCTTCTCAGTGGGGTCTGCTCCTGCACTCCAAGTGTGACCGTTTGCCAGAGGTCAGCACCCCAGGGCGGTCTCTTGGCTCAGAAATGTCCTCTTGTAGCTCTGCTCATTGGACCCTCCTCAGTGCCATTTGCAGATATCGCTGTTCAGAATGTCCTGGATGTGCTGCGTGACCAGGTTGATGGCAACCATATTGTCAACTCCACAAGGGATGATCACATTGGCATACTTCTTTGTCGGCAGGCAGAATGCCTCAAAGGCTGGTTTGGTGGTATACTTGGTGAGAATCTTCTCTAGGTCCTCAGTGCATGTCCAGGAGAACTCTTTGAGAGAGCCTGACTTTGGAGTCTGTGTCTATGGAGAGGTGCATGTGAAACATGTCCCAGATCTCCTGGCTATAGAACACCAAGATGCCCTCAAACAGAACCACTTCCACAGGGTAGACCACTGTGGTCTCTGGTAACCTTGAGTGGATCACAAATCATAGGTTGGAACTTTGAGAGTTTTGCCCTCCAAGATGTTTTTCAGAGTCCTGTGCATCAAATCATTATCAAAAGTGTCTGGATGGTCAAAATTGTACTGTCCCTTCAAGGATTTAGCCTTCTGTTCTGCTGTCAGGACCTTATAGAACCTGTCTTGGCTTAGGATGACCAACTTGTGCTGCCGGTGGTCCACTTCGTTCTGTCCCAGCAGCTCCATGAACTTACACACAGTCGACTTCCCGCTGCTCACCTGGATCAGGAAAGGACCGCTGGTGGGGATGGTCAGCCTCCAGCATAGAGCCCTAGCAATCGCCATCTCTAGCCAAAGCCATCGCAGCCTCTGCCACCCACTCCTTCCCCAGAATAGATTTAAAATTCCTCCTTTAATTTATTTTTTGATCCATTGGTTGTTCAGGAGCATGTTGTTTAATTTCCATATATTGTGATTTTTTTGGAATTTCTTTTGTTATTAATTTCTAGTTTTATGCCATTGTGGTTGGAAAAGATACTTGATATGATTTCAGTCTTCTTAAATTTGTTAACACTTGTTTTGTGGCCTAACTTATGACCTATCCCCAAGAGTATTCCATGAGCACTTAAGAAGAATGTGTATTCTTCTACTGTTGGATGAAGTGTTCTGTATATATTTGTTAAGTCCATTTGGTCTAAATCCAATGTATCTGTATTGATTTTCTCTCTGGATGAACTGTGCATTGTTTAAAGTGGCGTATTAATATACCCTACTATTATTACATTACAGTCTATCTTTCCTTTTAGATGTATTAATATTTGCTTTGTGTATTTCGGTGCTTTTATATTGGGTACATATATATCTATAATTATTAGATCTTCTCAATGAATTGGCTCCGTTATCATTATATAATGATATTTTTATCTTGTTTTACAGTTTTTGACTTAATGTCTATTTTATCTGACATAAGTGTAGTTACCATTGCTCTCTTTTGAATGATCAAGTGAATAAATGAATGTCACAAATTTTTCCTGCACCGGGAAGCAGTGCTCCATGGTACAAAAGGGCCTAAACACTTGCTTAGTGGACTGATAAGGGAGAAACACAGCTCACAATATTTTTCAAATAAGTTGATATTTTTTTCCTTTTATTTCATCATATTATGGAGGTACAAATATTGTTAGGGTTACAAATATTGCCCCGGCCCCCCTCCCTCCCCCCATGTGTCCAATCCCCCGGTGGTGTGCACCACACACGTTATGAAAGCATACACCCCTTTCCTCCTCCCCCCTCCCACCTGCCCACCACCCGATAAAAAGTTGGGTTTTTTTCTTTGACATTTTGGTTACATTGTATATCTTTGGCTCTCCCTAAGAAGGGTTAGAGTTGTGCCCTTCCCCTCCGAAGTGCTCGCCACAACCCTAAGATTGAGTCCCCCCGCCCCCCCCCCCCGAATCCCTGGTGAGCATTGCCACCATTTGAAAACCATAGTTTTAATCAGTCAGTACCAATTTGATGGTGAGTAGATGTGGGGCCCATTTTCCATGTCTTGTGTCGCCTCGCTTTGGATAACGGGCTTAAGCTTAATCCAGGATAGCATAAACGGTGCTAGCTCACAGCCATTTCTTAGGATTGAGTAATATTCCATTGTGAGCATATACCACATTTTAATTATCCACTCATGAATTGACGGGCACTTGGGTTGTTTCCATGACCTTGCAATAGTGAATTGTGCTGCTATAAACATTCAGGTGCAGATGTCTTTATAATAGAATGTGTTATGCTCTTTTGGGTAGATGCCCAACAATGCTATTTCAGGGTCGAATGGTATTTCTATTTCTAGCTGTTTGAGGTATCTCCAAATTATTTTCCACAAAGGTTGTACTAATTTTCAGTCCCACCAGCAGTGTAGGAGTGTTCCTATCTCTCCACATCCTCGCCAGCATTTGTTGTTTTGGGGTTTCTTGATATAGGCCATTCTTACTGGGGTCAGGTGGTATCTCATTGTGGTTTTGATTTGCATTTCTCTAATAATTAGAGAAGTTGAGCATTTTTTTTATATGTTTGCATGCCATTATTCTGTCTTCTTTGGAGAAGTTTCTTTTCATTTCTGTCGCCCATTTCTTGATGGGATTGTTTGATTTTTTCTTGTTAATTCTTTTAAGTTCTAGATAGATTCTTGTTATTAGACCTTTATCAAAAGTGTAGAGAGCAAATATTTTCTCCCACTCTGTGGGTTGTCTATTTGCTCTACTGATGGTTTCCTTGGCTGTACAGAAACTTTTTAATTTGATCAGATCCCATAAGTTGATATTTTTAAAAAGCAGCAATATAGTCATTGTGGGATCAATAAAAAACCTTCTATAGACTTTTTTCACATTTACTGTTTTTATTCCGAATTACATATGATGTAGGGATACCGTATCTTTTAGTGTTTAGAGCATCTAAATGTTTTAATTTGGTTATACTTGAGAGGTAGAAATCAATATGACCTAGTCCTCTGTCCCCAGGGCAGCTCCTGGGGGAGAGAGATCCAGATAGACAGTATAACAACACTCAATGTAATTAGTGTAGGGATAAGTAGGGTTGGTGTGGGAGCTAGAAGAAGCACATTCCTCCTAGGGAGGAAGGGAGAATAAAAGAGGAACAGGGATACAGGGTAGAGAATAGAGAAATCAAATGGAGAATAAGAGGGAGTGATTGATGAATATGGGGTAGTAAGCAGAAAAGAGGAGTTACATTTAGGAGAATGGAAAGTTGAAAGTAGGGAGCAGAAGAAGAGGCTGACAGGCAGAGACGGTGACCCCCCTCTGGAGGTGGAAACAGGCTAGACCACTTCCGGCCAGGGGGGAGGGAATAAGCTCAGACCTAAGGAGAGGCTTGGAGAGAGCAGACGCATTCGGGACTCAGGAGGATGAGGTGAGCTGAGGTGCCGGCTTTAGTGAAGATCCTGTGGGGGGTTCCTGGCTGCGGCTTCGGCTTCGACTTGCTTGACTCCAAACACCCCTAAGGTTTGAAGAAAACTTGCTGGGGATTCGGGACTTAACCACATCACCGTAGCTGTGTTTAGAGGTGCACATGTGTTTAGATGGTTCGCATGGGAGAAAAGAGGAGGCAGAATCCCCTTTGGGCCACAGTAAAGAGAGATCTGGACTTGGTTCGGGCCATAATAAAGAGGGATGCAGACCTGGTTGTGACCGCAGAAAGGAAGGGTCGAGAAATTGTTCAGGCAGTAGCAAGAGGGGAGGAGGACCACAGTTCAGGAGGGAGATAGGAGAAAGGCAGGACTCCGTTCAGGCTGGAGAAAGGGGGAAGAACCCTTTGTGGGCCAAGGATGGGACTCAGAGAAAGGAGGAGGCAGAATCCCATTGAGCAGCTGAAAGGACCAGGCTTAGGCAGGAGAAAGGAGGGGCTAGGACCCCGTTGGTTCTAGTTTGAAATGGGAAAAAGACCGGACCTGGTAGGGTTCAAGAAAAAGGAATACACAGAAGGTTTATTCCATTGGATTTGGCGGCGGGGTATATCCATGTTGCAGAAAGGGGGGAGCCGGGCACTTGCAGACGTGGAAAGACTGGGGAGTAGTGTTGGGGAAGGGGCGGTGCAGAGACCTACTGCAGAGCAGAGGGAGGGGGCGTATCGGGAAAGGGAGGTGCGAAGTGGTACTGCATGGCAAAGGGAGGAGGCTGGTGTTGGGGAAAGGGTTGGATCGAGATGTGATGCAATTAGAGACAGTGGGTCAGGGGTGGGGAGGTGGGGCCCATATGTTCTGCTGCTCTGAGAGCCGGGGGTGGGGGGTGGGGGATGTGGATGTGGGAACAAGCTGGTTAGAGACTGGCCGGGTCACCAAGGTGCATGCGCGATGAGAGTCTTGAAGAACGCGTTCTTTTGGGAAAGCGGTGGGCCTGAGAGCCCTAGATCAGCGATCAGCGCGCATGCGCACAATCAAGTTGCGGTAGGGGAGGTGTAAAGGGCTGAGGTCGTAGAACTGACTCTCTTGGAGGCAGAAAGAACTAGGGCTGGGAAGAGTTTCTGGGTATAAGAATCTAGGAGTTCAAAGGTTTGGGGCCCAAGATTAGATGAGACCCCCCCCCCTTCAGGAGAGGTGATATGAAACGTCTCATGACTCTCCACCTCTGTCTTATTCTCCCCTAACTCAGGCTCATTCCTTTTAGGCTCAGCTGTTACTTGGCCTCCCAGAAAGATGGATAAGAGAAATGACTACAGTTATAGGATGCCTTCATTCCAGGTGAGGCCTTTCTGCATTCTCACCAGGCCATCTGCCCTGTCCTGAGTTCACTTACTGCTCTTGAGCCTCCTACTATCACGTAGCTGCATAATACCCTGCCTAACCTGTCTCAGTCCTCCCCTGCATGGTGAAAGAGGAGGAGAGGAAAACCTGCCTGACTATCCCTTGCTCACTTCCCCTTCTGCCACTCCCCTTCAATCAACCACTGCTCAGAGGAAAGGGAGGTCTTCGTGGAAAGGGGTGGGCTATAGGGAGGTCACATGGCCCAGAAGATAATAAACTTAAGTGTGTAGGGCCCTCTGCCTCCCCCTGGGAGCCTGGGCCTTCCCTTTCCCCCAGATGTGCAGACTGAGACCACGGAAGAGGACAGTGTCTTGCTGATGCACACCCTGTTGGCGGGAACCAGGGACCCTCTGGCCATGGACTCATCAGTTGCCAACCGGCCTAAGAAAAGCAAGACCAAGAAAGCCCCTATAAAGACTATTACTAAGGCTGCACCTGCTGCCCCTCCAGTCCCAACTGCCAATGAAATTGCCACCAACATGCCCAGAATAACTCTGCAGGTTTTAAACTTGCCAATCATCACCCAGATTAGCAAGGTTTCAGCTATCACTGAGGCAGCCAGTATTCAGACTTCTTCAATCATTGCTTAACCTAAGAAAGCCAAGAGTATGAAGAGAGTTACTGCCAAGGCAGCCCAAGGCTCTCAGTCCCCAACTGGCAGTCAGAGTGCCACTACACAGCTCAAGTCACCCTTGCAGGTCCTAAACCTACCAGTCATCTCACGGACTATCCAGGCTCCAATTGCCAGTGAGTCAGCCAATTCCAAGGTTTTGATAGCCTCCACCAAGCCTAAGAAAGCTTCTAAGGCTAAGAAGGTTGCAAACAAAGGCATAGCTAGTGCCACTGTGATCTCACTGGCTCCAGTTGCCACCTATACAGCTACTACTCAAGGCCAAATTATCAGTGAGATAGTCAATATCCAGGCCACAGAAGCCTCCATCAGAACCAAGAAAGCCTGTAAAGCCAAGAAGACAACGGCTAAGGCCACAAATACTGACATTGAGCATATAGAGGCTCCAATGTCACCAGACAGAATGAAGCCTCAGCAGCAGCTATCCAGCCAAAAAAATCCAAGGGCAAGAAGGCTGCCAATAAGGGCCCAAATTTTGCCTCTGAAATCTTTAAGACCCCACCTGCCACTCAAATGGTCACAAACCAAGCACTGGCAGCCAACCTTTGGGTCAAGACAGGGTCTAGGGCTTGGAAGACTGCCACTAAGGCTCAGTCAACTGAAAGCCTGACTCAAATTACTGACCAAGGGCCAAAGGCCAAGATGGCCACAGCTTATGCCAACGTAAGTGCCCTTGTGACTCAGGTTGCTGCTGCTGTCCAGGCCCTGGCAGATGACTATCTGGCTCACTTGAGTCTGAAGCCCACAACCAGGACTCAGGGCAAGAGGAACCGAAAGGTAAGATCTCTGACATCACCGTCCTTGACTTTGTGCTTCTTTTCCATTCCTATCCTTCTAGTTGTACATAAAAGTTCTTCTATAAAAGTTAAGTGAACCTTTTTACTTTGAGCCAATCCCTGTGTTCAGATAGGCTATGGAAGATGCTGAGAAGAATGTGATATAGTTTCTGCTCCTTGGCAGTTCACAGATTGGTGGGGAAAGAAGACATCCATACACTTAGCTACAACGTGTATATAATTCAATTTGTATTTATGTAGTAGTTACCACACACCACATGGTAACTTTGTGTTGGGTACATTCATGCAGGTTTTATCTTTATGTCTTTTTTTTTTTTTTTTTTTCAGGCCAGTGACAAAAGTGTATATCTTTATGTCTTGAATGTAACTTTTAACAACAAGGGATCATAGGTCTAAGTTTTACACATAAGAAAACTGAGTCCCAGAGAGGGGTAGTGACTTGTCTAAGGGGTACCAGCTAGCAGAATCAGTGGTGGCCAAAGGAAGAGGAGGAGCCCCAGGCCCTGTCCTTAGGTTGCTCCTGGCCTGGTAGAGGAATGAAACTCCTGCTGGGAGACAATGAAAGATAAGCCCAGGCCTCAGGCCCCACTACAGGGGAAGGTTTAAGGAGACTTTCTGGGGGAGGCAGATGAGGAGACAAAGCTATGTCTTTCACCTGGTGACTCTGGATCTTCATTCTTTCTGATGATGAAGTCCAGGCATCTGAATGGGGATGAGAGAAGTGGCAGTAATTACAGGCGAATCTCATGGGGCCGGAGGCCTCCACCACCCCGTGATGTGGCCATTTTGCAAGAAAGGGTAAGAATCCAGTGCTGCCCAGTCTCTTCTTCACCTGCCCTCTTCTCTGCCCCTTCCAAATTTTCTGTAAACATATTGAGATCTCCCCATCCATTCCTCATTTCTCAGGCAAATAAGTTGGTGAAATACCTGTTGGTTAAGGACCAAAGATCCCCATCAAGCGCTCAGGTAGGGTCCTACCAACCCTCCCCCTTGAGCTTGTCGCTCTACTCTCCTCTCCCCTCATGGTCTGGGAGTAACCTTTTACCTTTATGGCCTCCTCGTTTTCTCATTTCTCCACCCTTATTTTCCTATACACTGCCATGGCTGGCATCTCCTGCTAACACAGTTCAGGTCTCTGGCTGCACTTGACCCCACAGGACTGGCAAAAGGGCTGCAGCTCTGTGGCCTCTGCTCAGCCTGGCTGCTTCCACTTTTCCCTTCCTGCAGATGTGCTGAAGGATGTCATCCAAGAATGTGAGGAATATTACCCAGAGATCATTGAATGAGCAAGCTATGCTCTGGAGAAGGTGAAAGGGCAGCCTTGGGGGATGGGTGCAATGGGGAAGATTCAAATCAAACAAAGGTGTACATGTCCCTTCTGGGGGAACCATAGAGACCAGCTAGTCCAGCCCCATCATTGTGCTGGTGGGTAGACAGTGGCCTAGGGAGCAGTGTAGACTAGCCATGGGTTATGCAGCAAGTCAGTAATGAAAGCATACCTAGGACCCAAGCCATCCAAACTTAGTCCCAGCTTCTGTCTGCAGCTGGGCACATCCTGACATGCATTTCAGATGCTCACCTGTCCCTTCCATTCCTCATTGTCTGTCTCCTTAGGTTTCCACTAATCAGGCTGATGACATTGATGACAGTAGTACATTTGCTGTGTGTTTACTGGGTGCTGGCACTTAGTTACATGCTTTATGTGTGTTATCTCACTGACTTCTCACATGCACGAAACCCCTAGGTACATGGGGATCTGCGGCATGTCTGTGAAGCTCACTGAATCCTAAGCTAAATTTTGTGATCTCACAGGCTATTCTTTTACTTGGCAGATGTTTCGAGTCAATCTGAAGGAAATTGATAAGCAAAGTAGCTTGTATATTCTCATCAGCAATCAGGAATCCTCCACAGGCATACTGGGAACGTAAACTGGAAAAGGGCTGGGGTGGGAGGGGGGCTTCTGCTTTCGTTCATGGTTCTAGCCCTTCCCTGTCCTCTCTCCCTGTATCCTCTTAGAGGGTCAGGAAAGACAGGGCCCTGACCCTGTCCCAGCCCCCAGCCATAGTTGGAGCCCTGCGCTCGCTCAGTAGTGGTGCCTGTTATGATTGATTGAAGGCTGTAAGAGACTGGGGTGGGGCATTCCTGCTGTCAGGTTTCCTGTCTCTCCAGAAGCTTCCCAGGAAAGCAGGCCTATTGTTGCTTGTCTCTGCCTACTGAGTCCCTGGCCAGGCCTTGGTTGAGTGGTTCTCAAGGAGAGCTCCGTGGTGTTGGTGGGCCAGGATACATTAAGGGCAGGAATATCAGTAGGGCCCAGCCTAGAA